CATGGTAGCTTTCAGTCAAGATTGTAAGTAAAGGAGCAGAAAAGAACTAAATTTCTACTGTATCTGAAATGTTTTCTTTCTTTTTTTTTTCCTGTATGAAAAGGAAGCATCCAGCTGGCTCTAGTCAATGCTCACAGTGGCTGCTGCAGCGTATTAACTAATGATACAAAATGATGAGCAATCATTCTTTCTTGAACAGATTTTATTGATCATCTGCAGTGTTCAGCTTTGTGTGGATGTTGGAGAAACAGTGGTAAAAAGTAGATCAGATTCCTGCCCTTATGGTTTATGGAGGAGACAGACAACAAAAATGTAAACAAGCAATAAGCATGGTATTATGGTGATTTCAGGGAAATGGGATAGAGTGGTTGGGAGTAAGGAAAGGAGTGGCTTTCTTAGATCAGGTGTTAGGAAAGGCTTCTCTCAGCATTTGTGCTGAAATCTGATGGACAGCAAAGAACCAGCCATAGGGAAAGTGTGTTCTTCATAGAGGGAACAGCAAGTACAAAAGGTGTAGGGTCCCCATTAATGTTTATCTTCAGATTTTTTTTTTTAAGATTTTATTTATTTATGAGACACACACACACACACACACACACAGAGGCAGAGACGGCAGAGGGAGAAGCAGGCTCCATGCAGGGAGCCTGGTGCAGTACTCCATCCCAGGACCGTGGAATCAAGCCCTGAGTCAGAGGCTCAACCATTGAGCCATCCAGACATCCCTGTCTTCAGTGTTTTTATAGTAGCTCTTTAACGCCTTCAAGTTCAGTGTTCTACATAAATAATATGGGTTTTAGGATGATAGAAGGCCAAAAAGCAGTAGAGGTGGTTGCTGTTCTGGTACCCCAGTAAGATCAATAGCTGACATTAGCTCAGTGTAAACAGTGAGAAACTGATAAAAATACTTGCTCTTGGTCATATTCATGTTTCTTACAGGGCCACGACTAAGGTTTTTTAACTTCCTGTCAGCCAGTCCTGAGTATTCTTAAGGTAACCACCTTTCAGTGGATGGAGGGTACTTAGCTGAAAAGATAAATGCCAAGAGCAGGCTCAATGAGAGTCAAATTGTATGTAGAATTTGTCCTTGTTTTTGCTAACTTTTTTTTTTTTATTTTTTTTTATTTATTTATGATAGGCACACAGTGAGAGAGAGAGAGGCAGAGACACAGGCAGAGGGAGAAGCAGGCTCCATGCACCGGGAGCCCGATGTGGGATTCGATCCTGCGTCTCCAGGATCACGCCCTGGACCAAAGGCAGGCGCCAAACCGCTGCGCCACCTAGGGATCCCTTTTGCTAACTTTTGTTCGCATTTTATTACTACATGGAATGTTCTGCTCTGGCTTCTGGCAACACTTTTTAACCTAGCAAGCTTTAGTGATAGTAATGGTGAAAAGCAAAGTAGCAGGCTTGAGAGCTCAAAGTAATGTTCTGGAAGGAGCTAGCTCATACATAGTGTGGCTTATTAACATGAGGGGAGACTCCTGAGGCTGGGTGATGATCACTGCTGGTAATAAGTGGACACGGTTGTTGGGGTCTGTGCCTCAGTTTATTTGGAGTGTGACATTTGGGAAATGAGTGAAGGTTCTAAGGCTTGTTGTGTATTCACTTATCAGTGTAGACTAGCTGTCCAGCTGACAGGTGTGGTTCTAGCATGGGGTGTGTAGATGTCTTTGGATTTATTTTATTTCATTTCTCCAAGAAATGACATAGCTAAATATTGTAGGCAATTTTTTGCCTTATCCGGGACAAGGAATGAAGTAAAGGGATTCAACTCATAAGGGCTTATGTAGCTTTTCCTCTTATTTCTTGTTGGAAATGGATAGACACCCAGTTTCTGTTGCTAATTTCTCTCTTGGGAGACTGACATGCTTTTTGTTTTTACAGCAGAAATTAATGCAGAATTACAGGCTTTGAACATTTGATGCAGATGGAGTGTTGTGGGATTTCACTTATTTCAGTGAGACTCGGTTGATAAACAACTAATGTTTTTCACACTTAGCTCTAATGTTTAGGAAAAAAACATTGGTTTCAGTTGGCATTTTTTGAAAATTAGGAAGTAAAACAACTTATAGGTAAAAATCTAATGAAAATTTAGGTGATGTTTTCATATGTCATTTTTGAGATGTCCAATCTATAATATAAACTGATCTTGGAGCATTTTCCCTTTATATGCTTATGATGAGTGATTCTTTAAGGCACTATCTCTTCTCTTATGCCTTACCATATTTGGGGGTGCTTTAGCTTCCATATGGGAAATAGTCTTCTTGGGATGGTCTTATAACACTAACCTAATGTGTAAGAGGAGGAATTGTAAAGATTGGAGAATCTGTGCCTCAAGTTAATTAATCTAATTTATTAACATTGTCTCTGGGAAGCAGCCTGGCAGAGAAGAGAGATTAGCCTAGGATTCAGGGGATACAGTTCTAGCCCAGATGCTCCTATTCTCCACTTGGGTGATGTGGGGTAAGATATTTCACCTCAAAGATGCTCTTTTTTTCTTAAGTGGTAAACTCAGTCTCTTAAGCTTTTAACAGTCTCAAAAAGGCTGTGATTGTATAAGAAACCTTCTATTGCATGTCTTTTAGGCATGATGAATCAAAACTGAGAAATCTACCTTATGGTAGGCTTCACTTTGAATTGCTGCTTATCGGGATCCCTGGGTGGCGCATCGGTTTGGCGCCTGCCTTTGGCCCCAGGGCCCGATCCTGGAGACCGGGGATCGAATCCCACATCAGGCTCCCAGTGCATGGAGCCTGTTTCTCCCTCTGCCTATGTCTCTGCCTCTCTCTCTCTCTCTCTCTCTCTCTCTCTGTGACTATCATAAATAAATAAAAAATAAAAAATTTTTTGAATTGCTGCTTATCTTGCATGAAACATGTTTTCTGTTTCCATTGCTTTTTTTTTTTTGAGACAGATGAAATATGAAATGTGGTTTTTATAGTGTAAAAGATGAGGAAGTTAGAATTTGAATTAGACTAAGTGATTGGGTAGCAGAGTTGGTTGAAGGTGGTGGATAGAAATGAGCTAGGAGGTTCCTGGGCTCAGGATAGATTAGTGGGAGTGCTTGCTTGGAACCCAGAGGAACATGCCAGCAGATTTTATTTATACAGTTTCACCTCTGCTTCAGAACACCCTGACATTCTCCTGGGGCAACAGGTCTTGAATTGAGAAGGGTGGGGATGAGAAGGGCACTCTGGGAACCTGTAGCTTATGGGGAGAGTTTATTCTCCTCCTGCTCTTAATTGGAGGAATCTGGGGGGGTTGGTAGGGTTCTGAGTTCTGCTTTTCACACTTCAAGACTGGAGCTTCTTCCTTTAGATCATCCTAATTGTCCTTTGCAGATCTTTTCCACTGCATTTAATGTGCAAGTATAGGAATCATAATCTATTCTTGGGAGTTCCTCACATGGTTTCTTTTCTTTTGAGTTTATTTTTTATTGTAAGCTTTCTTGAATCCTTTCTGGGAGTAGATTTAGAGTGAAGCAGTCCAGTGATTTTTTTGAACAGATAATTGCTTCAGGACCATCTAGAAGGCCTTTCAGAGGCATTGAATTAGAATCTCTGTGAGTGCAGCCTGGGAATCTATTTTAAAAAAGCCTCTCCTAGGTGATTCTGCACGAGTCATTTTTGGATCTATTCAGGGACTGGCATTTGAGACCCACTGATCTTGTTTAACTGCTTTTCTATATGTAGTTGAACGGGCAGGACACAAATGACAAAAGGAGCATAATATGTGTTGGGGTGGGTGCATCAGAATTTTATGAGGGGAGGATACTAGTTTCTCTTTCTTTTTAGTGCTTGTCTTGATGGCTCCCAGGACACTTTGCATTGCTTTTAACCTGTAGCTCAATATTGGGCTGCCGTCCTCAAGGGTCCATTTACAGTGATCTGAGATCCTATTCTTGGGTCATAACTGACAGCTGAGAAGTTGTTTTATATGCCTGATATAGGCCATATGCTCATTTTAACACTCATCTGCCACTTTTTCTTCTATTTGCATAGATTCCCAAGATCTTTCTATAATTTGGCGCCAATAACTTGGCACATTACTGCTGTGAAGTCTTTAGTGTCATCTACAAACATGAGGATTTTATGCTAATCACTTTTCTGCTTTTGTAATCCTTGGGAGCCACACACTTGGACCTTCTATCATGTTTCTTGTTTATAAGCCCCATTCTTAAATATCAGTAAAACCGTGAGTGACCTCTGGTGGTCTTAGTCCTTATTTTTTATACCACTAGTTTGTCTAATATGAAAATAAAATTTTCTTATAATTCTCAGGTCTTCGAGGTCCTTATGATTAAGGGTCACATCTACAGTTCCCTTAGTGGCTTTTCCTCATTTTGACCAGCAGTTTTCTAGTTCATCCCTAAATTTCTTCAAAAAGTTGAGGTGAATGCCAACCAGCATTAATAATTTAGTAATTACCAATATTTAAGTTTTGGACTTAATACCTGCTCATAATATTTCAAATAGTATAAAAGTATATAAAAGTAAATACAAAAATATCTCTCCCTCTGGCCTTAGCCCTCAGTTTTCTGTCATTCATTCTCATTCCCCTAAGGAAATGTGTTTCCAAACTTGTCTCACTCACACACACACACACACACACACACACACACACACGAGCAGGGGGACTCATTCCCCTAAGGGAATGTGTTTCTTTCTTTTTTTTTTTGTTTTTTGTTTTTGTTTTTTTTTTGAATATGACATACCTCCTGAGCATTTATTTTAGTTCATAAAGTTTGCTTTTCAAAACAAATGATATGTCTTATCTAATGCTGTTTAGAAATATTTAGCTATGTTCTGCAGTTTTCAACAATGTTCTCTTAATGTGAAATTTAATTGAGACTTTAATTCGTTCATTTTCAAGAAACTAGTTCTGAAATATGTGCATTTCTAAAACTTTTGCCAGTGTTATATATTTAAGATTAAAAACTACAAAGACTTGATTTTATACTCATTGCTTCTGAGTTGGTGCATCACAGTAAGGCACATTTTCTACAAGGAGTTCTTCCCTAGGGACCAATTCTCTTCTATTGGGAGAAGTTTCAACTTTTATTACTTTTGAATTCTTCATTTATCTTTATTCTGGCTGCTTCTAATGCTCTGGTATCATTTTTAAAAACCTGTTGTCTTGTCCTGTGTAATGTTTTATAGAGCTGTAAAACCTTGGCCGCCTGACCCATGGCTCTCCTCACCGTGGCGGCCACCTCTCCTCAGGAAATGTGTTTCTAAACTTTACACACACACACACACACACACACACACACACACACACACACACACACACGAGCAGGGGGACTGAGCAGGGGGACCGGTAGAGGGAGAGGGAGAAGCAGGCTCCCTCTCTGTTCCAGGAAAAGGCAGACACCTAACCATCCGAGCCACCTAGGTGTCCCCTGTCCTGCAACTTTTAAAAAAATGACGATCATCTATGTCATAATTATAGATCCTACCTCATTCTTTTTTTTTTAATTTTTATTTATTTATGATAGTCACAGAGAGAGAGAGAGAGAGAGAGGCAGAGACATAGGCAGAGGGAGAAGCAGGCTCCATGCACCAGGAGCCCGACGTGGGATTCGATCCCAGGTCTCCAGGATCGCGCCCTGGGCCAAAGGCAGGCGCTAAATCGCTGCGCCACCCAGGGATCCCCTACCTCATTCTTTAGTAGTTGAAGAGTATTCTATCATTTGGGTGTTTTTACTTACCCATTTGTTGATGTTTTTGATTTTTCATGGTTCTAATACTGCTACACTGAGTTAATGTGCATTTTCCATCTTTGTGTTCTTGTGTTGGCATTTCCATAAGATACATCCTGGAACTGCAGTGCTGGTACCTTTTCATATCACTTAATGTTTTTGGTGGTTGTAGGGTGGTTTTACGTACACTTAACCTGTTTATTTCTTATAGATACCATCTTAGGTAAAATTCAGGGCAAAATACAGGTTAACCTCTCATTACTCATTAATTATTGCACGTTTGGTAGTCCTCTGTTCCTCCAATCAGAGTATCCTTGAAAACCACTTTATCTCTTCATTAGAGGGCAGGGCCCAACCGCCTGGGGAATCACAAAATAACTACTTTTTAATTGCTTGAAGATCCTCAGGTGTTTTAAGGTCCTAGTATTTGAATGAGAGTAGGTTACTTGAGCTTGAGCTTTAGCTTCATCTGCTTTCTCTGGGTTCTAGAGAGCTGTGTGACTAAGGAAGTGTGCAGCTACCTAGCTGCAAATGGCATGAGGAGGTGAAGGGCAAGTTCATGTGAAAGGTTTGACTTTTTTCCTGTGGACTGGCACATAGCTTTTCTTTTTTCTTTTTCTTCTTGGATAAGAAGGTGGAGATGGGAGGTGGTAAGCATGACCACATCCTGTGTGGGGAAACCCTGCTATGTTTAGAGTTGTTTAGAGAGACAACCAGGGTAGTCAGCGTTGGTAGTCTTCAGTGAAGTGCTGAGCCCAGCCTTGGTGTAATGGCTTACCTCAGGTTTCCTGGGCTTCACATGTGCGTGAACCCCTACCATGGTTTGAGCACTGGAGCACTGCCTCTACTTGTCTTTAGTTCAAAAGTCTTTTGAGCAATCAGCTATTTTAAAAAAAAATTGAAATATTTTTAAAGCAAACTTAATTTGGAGCACCTGGCTGGCTCAGCTCATGGTCTCCGGGTCCTGGGATTGAGCCCCACATCAGGCTTCCTGCTTAGTCTTCTGCCTCCCTCTCTCTCAAATACATAAATAAAATCTTAAAAAAAAAAAAAAGTTTTTTTCACTATTGGAAATGGAAAACCAGTGTTACTTGCCATAACTTGAAAGTACCTTAAAAAATGCACAACGAAAACAGTGTTATTAAATTCTAGCTAGGTACAGCATCTTGTGGGGGGCTCTGAAGAAAGCTTAACAAGTTGTGAAGATGTGCTAAAGGCTTCCTGCCACCAAACTGGAACTTTCTTCTTCATTTAATAGGAACGATTGAAAGAGATTTGGAAAGGAGTCAATTCTTATATATGTGTAAATATTAAATGCTGATATATACAGGGTTTACTTACCACATAAGGCAGTTTTTTTTTTTTTAACTCCACTCCCCACTTCCCCCCACCCCCGCATTGGGAAATAGACATTACTTGTGTCTTGGGGGTAGAACTGATTTCTGGAATGGCTGTGGTTCAAGTCATTAGCAATGCTGATTACTAGCCATATGACCATGGGTAGGTTAATTTTATCCCTTCAAGTTGCAGCTTTGCGTGTAAATGCCCCCCTCTCTCTCTATCATAAAAAAAAAAAGTAAAAACAAACTTGAAGTTGATATAGTGACATATTTAGAACAAAAAAAATTTTTTTTAACTTATTTATGAGAAACCCAGAGAGAGAGAGAGAGAGAGAGGGGCAGAGACACAGGCAGAGGGAGAAGCAGGCTCCACGCAGGGAACCTGACGCGGGACTCAGTTTTGGGTCTCCAGGATCATACCCTGGGCTGCAGGCGGTGCTAAACTGCTGCGCCACCAGGGCTGCCCTAGAACGGTTTTTTCACTACAAAGTAAAACTTTTTTTTTTTAAGACTATTTGAGGGAGGGTGCAAGAATGCACGACCATGTCCACAAGCTGGGGGATGGGGAGAGATTGGGGCAGAGGCAGAAGCACACTCTCCACTGAGCATGGAGCTCCATGTGGGTCTTGATCCTAGGATCTTGGGATCATGACCTGAGCCCAAGGCAGATGCTTAAGCTGAGTCACCCAGGCACCCCTAAAACATTTGTTGAGGAGAGTGCTCATGTGAGTGGGGGGAGGTGCAGAGGGAGAGAGAAAGAATTTCAAGGAGACTCCAAGCTGAATCATGTCCCACTGGGGGCTTAATCTCATGACCCTGAGATCGTGACCTGAGTGGAAACCAAGAGTCAGTCACTCAACCGACCCAGGTGCCCCTTAAACATTTTCTGTTTTCTTCTCCAAGGGGACTCAGTAATCCAAATTTGGGTTTTTCTTGGTTCCCTATGCCAATTCCCAGTCTCCCAGAGAAGGAGATAAATTCATTCTTTGCAAGGAATAGTTCCTTACCTGGCCTTGGCACCTTTGTAAGAACAGTCTGCTGCGGGCTGTTGCTGTTCACACCTGTTGTCTTGGCATAATTTTCATTAATACCCCTTTTCACTTCGAAGTGCCCTGATTCCAGGGATAAAATGGATGTTTACTGTGCTTAGTAAGAACAGTCAAATCTGGGAGAGTGTGGGATGAAAAAGCTCATAGAGACCAATATAAACAGAAGGTAGATGTTTCTGTAAACCTAGCAACTGGGGTGGCCTGAGAGGAGGGTCTCATGGCTAAGAAAGCCTTTTATGGAGAGGATGTGGCCTAGGCTTGAGACCCGAGGCTTTGGGCTGAGGAGATTTGAGTTGTCAGTCTCGTTAAAATGTTGCTGTTAAATAGAGGTAGGTAGCTTTGTTTTATAATGAAAGTGGAACTTGTGAGTTTAAATACTGATGGTTTTCTTGGCGGATGGATGGGTTAGAAAATCAGGTGTGATGTTTTCAGATCTGTTATAAAAGTTTAAAAAACCTTTTCTGGAGAGGTGGTGAAAGTGACAGGTCTTGACAGAGGCAGAGGAATAAAATGGATGAGATAAAAAGGAGAAATGGGTAAGTACAAGTGTGGGAATACTCAGATAGGCTTGGAAGCAGCTATGAGCAGTCTGGATGCAATGAGCAGGATTAAGGCAACTTGCTTAAAGCGACTAAGCACTGCTGGAAGTTTGTAGTAGAGAAAGGAACAAGCGGTGAGGCTTCTGAGTTTTTCTTTCCAGTCCCTGGAATGTGAGGTTAGTGAGCTTTTAAACTTTATGAATTCTCTTCCAGGAGAGGGAAAATCCATTGTTTTATAGCCTTTAATACCAGGGCCATTTTTATTTTTGGCAGCAGCCCAAAATAGTGAATTATGCCAGGTGTAACTTATCTACTTAACTAACAGGATGCTCCCAGATCTTCATGAAGAGTGGTGCATTCTTTCCCTACCTCCTTTTCCTTTCCTCTGTGCAGAAGGGAGACTCTGGAATGCCTGGGTCCTGGAATCCTGTTGAGATCTATTATTCTGTGTGTAGTAATTGCTTGTGTTATTACTGTTGGCAGGTGAGCCCTTTCACAGCCCAGAGGCCAGGAGGCTGCCTCTATTACTTAAAAGCTGAGTTATCTTGTTAAACTCCTCTCTTGTGAGCGCTTTAGAATCTCTTGAGACCTCCTGTGGGCTCTCTGTGGGGCACAGGCCCAGCTCTTGGGTAAGCCTGCCCTGCCCCCGTGTTAGTCATCATGATTCCAGCTCTGGAGGACTAACTTTCTGTTACATAGCAAGGCAGCGTAGGGCTGCTAGCTGGACCTCTTGGTTTCCATTTAATTCTTAAGTGTTCCCGTATCAATGCTCTTAATGAAAGTACCTCTCTTGCTCTTGTGTCAAAGAAAATGTGTTTCTTTGATTATCAACAGGAGAAGCTGAAAGCCAGTGTAGGGAGAATAAGAAGTTTGGGACTTAGATTATGTGAGAAAGTTAGAAAATTGGTTTTTGAAAGTGGTTGATGGCACAATGTGAAGAGTAAAGATGCCCTGTGAGTCTGAGCTATCTATAAACTTGGAAATTTCCTTGCTTTATATGTTAAATATATTTTATTATTTATTAGAGAGTATGCTCCCCTCCCCTACCCCAAAAAGGAGAGGGGAATCAGAGCTGGTCTTTGTGGTTAGCATAGGATATATAGAATATTATGGATGTTTCTATTTTTTTATTTATTTTTAAAGATTTTATCAGAGAGGGAGCACATGAGGGGACATGGGGAGGGGGAGGAGCAGAGGGAGGGAGAAGCAGACCCCTTGCTGAGCAGGGAGCCCAGCAGGGCTCCATCCCAGGACCCCAGGGTCTTGACCTGAGCTAAAGGGAGCTAAAGGCAGCTGTCTAAGGGGCTGAGCCATCTGGGCGCCCTTGGATGTTTTTTTAATAAAAATGGAGGAGCAGTCTCTTCTGGGTAATAGCTGTAGTTAAAATAACACAGGAGAATTCCAGGTAGGCCAGACAGCCTTCTGTTTGGCTTCTAGAGGAGGTATGCATTATCTGTGATGGAGGATGGAGGGGTCATGGGGACTGCAGTTTTTATTCCCCCATAGTAGTTTTCCTAGGATTTTAATGATAAGGAGAATTCTGGGGGTAGTACGTTAAT